TTTTTTTTTTTTTTTTTTTTTTTGAGACAGGGTAACTCCATAGCTCAGATTAGAGTGCAATGGTGTGATCCCAGCTCATTGCAGCCTGGACCTCCCAGGCTCAAGCCTATCCTCTTGCCTTAGCCTCCCAAATAGGTGGGACTATAGGTGTGCACCACCACACCCAGTTCACTTTTTTATTTTTTGCAGAGACAGGATCTCACCATGTTACCCAGGCTGGTCTCGAACCACTGGGCTCAAGTGATCCACACAGCCTGGCCTCCCAAAGTGCTGGGTCTACAGGTGTGAGCCACTGTGCCTGGCCTCCCTCCTCCACTCTTTCCACTCCCTCCCCTGTTCTCTGCCCTGCGGCCACACAGATCTTTCAGTGCCCTGGACACAGCATGCTCTTTCTGGCCACAGGTCTTTAGTGTATGTCCCCCTTTGCACCTGGCTCTTATACAGCCATCAAGCCTCAGCTAATGTGTCCCTTCCTCTGGGAATCCTCCCTACCTTCCCAGGCTAGGGCTGCACACCCCTCCTTGGGGCCTTGCCACACACCCGAGGCTCCCCTCTCCAGGAGTTAACGGGCTGTGTGGGAATGGCTGCCCACAGCCCTGCCGGGCTATAAGCTCTCCAAGGGAAGGGCTGTTGCCCCCACTCTCACCTCCAGTACCCAGCACAGGCTGTAAAGGTCTGGAAAATGCACGAATCGATGAATGGATGGATAGATGGATGAACTGCAGATCAGGCAAGATCTGTGGACAGATGGGGTTTGCCTTACCCACACTGATAGCCAGCAATGCATTTTTCCTGAGACCAAGAGAGAAGTCATTTCACTTTCTCAAAGTGGGTGAGCTCATTGGTTGAACCAAGATGAGAAGCCCAGCCCTTCACTCCCAGTCCTGGCTTCTCTGTAACCCCCCCAACCCTGCTGCCTCCACTTACCCAAGTGTCTGTACCTGCAGAGGTCTGCAGACCTCTCCCTGACCCCACTGAAGTATGGGCTAAGGCTCAACCCCCAGGAAGAACCCTCCAGGAAGAGACTGGGAGGGGAGGAGCCAAGACAGTGAGGAGAAGAGTGGACAGAGACATGAAGAGGCTGATGGAGAGGTAGGGAAGGGTAGGCAGCACGGACCCAGTGTGTGGTCGGCACACTCGATGTAGATATTTGGTGGGCAGATGGTCTCATTGCCTGAAAGGAGAGAAGATTATTCCTAGAATCTACGATCACTTCCCCTGTCCCCTACACGCCCAAATGTAAGCACATACATGCATGCACACACATATGCACACATTTGCATAAATGTGCTTGAACACCACACACACAACCCCCACAAATATGCAACCATGGATATAAATGAGCATACATGTACACAAATACATATCAACATGCACTCAGGCATCTGCATGCCCGCATTCCCACAGGCATATGTGAAACCATGTTTAAAAGTCCCAAACACACACATGCACACTCACACGGGTACAGACACACACATATGTTATATACATGCGCCTGCCTGTGCACATGAGCAGTGCCTTGCCCCAGGAGGCTCTGGAGCCCAGCAGGGTGGCATGGAGGGCTAGCTAGGGGTGGGGTGCCCACCTGGCATGTGCACCATCCGGCAGTGGCAGCGCTGAAGCACAGCCTCCTTTTCACAGCGCAGCCGGCAGGCAGACACACTGTAGGCCGAGTAGCCCTGAAGCTCAGGCTCCCTGAGCTCACTCTCCGCGCGGCAGTTGCCCCAGGGCTGGGGCAGGTAGGTCAGCTGCAGAGGTGGGTCATGATGAGGTCATGCTCAGGAATCCCACCCGGTCCTCCAGTGCCCACAGCCCCAGCAAAGTCAATACAGCTGGCAGGCTGTGAGCTTCTAAAGGGCAGGTTTGCTCTGCATCCCCTCTGAGCCCAAAGGTGAGCCCTGTGCCCAATCCAGGGCCTGGCAGGAGGTGCTCACCCGCTGTTCCTGGCAGGACACAAAGGTCTGGAAGCCTGGGGACACCCCGAACCCCAGCTGGTGGATGTAGGGCGGCTCCTCCTGGCTGTGGATCTGCACCCGAATACCTGCCTCAAACGACGTCTCATCTGCACAGCAGAGATGGGGACCTTTGGAAACCCATCCCAGGCAGAGGGCCCAGGCCCCAGTCCCCAAGATGGCCCTTGTCCCTTTCCGGCCTGCGTACTTGTCTCCCTCCAGATGGGTAGGTACTCCTCCTGCTGGATGTCCAGCATGATCTCCAGGCCACTGCCCATGCCCCCTGCCCGGCTGGGCAGCGAGCTCCGCGGGTCCGCGTTGAAGGTGTAACACTTCCCATAGCGAGTATAGACCTGGGAGGTGGGGTGAGAGAGCAGGAGGGGAGATGAAAGGAGTGGCCAAGGCAACTCCGAAGTTCCCTGCTCCCCGCCGAGGGCCACTAGATCTGCTTGGACACTCCAGTCCCATATCCTAGCAAGCAATGTATAGCCCAGTCTCTCCAATGAGCGCCAACTTTTCCACTGATGGCCTCCCTTAGATGATTAAAAGGCATCTCCAACTTAACATATCAACACATCAACACCTTCCCAAACGCTGCCTGCCCCACACCATCCTCCTCCTCCCTAGTAAACCACCCCACTATATCCATCCAGTTTCTCAAGTCGGAATTTCTAAAATCTCCCCATCCATCATCCCTGCTTCTTTTTCTTTCTTTTTTTTTTTTTTTTAGATATGGTCTTGCTCTGTTGCCCAGGCTGGTATGCAGTGGCACGATCTCGGCTCACAGCAGCCTCAACTTTCCAGGCTCAAGCCATCCTCCTGCTTCAGCCTGACAAGCAGCTGGGATTGCAAGCATATGCCACCAAGCCTAGCTAAGTTTTTTTATTTTTTATTTTATTTTTGTAGAGACAGGGTCTTGCCATGTTGCCCAGGCTGGTCTTGAACTCTTAGGCCCAAGCAATCCTTCTGCTTTTGGCTTCCCAAAGTGCTGGGATTACAAGCATAAGCCACCACATCCAGCCTCCAGGCCACTTCTGAAATATATTTAGAATCCATCCACTTTCCTTCCTTCTCCAGCAACCCCCATTTTGCCATCTCCTTCTAACTGGTCTCCCACCTTGGTCCACCCTTGCCCCTCCCTACTGGAAGCTATGGTGCCCAGTCCACGGTGCTCAGATCCAATGAAACCACTCACTGACTTACCCAACAATAGCTTCCCATTTCCCACATAACAAAGTCACGCTCCTTCCCTAACCCAAAAGTGCCCATGTGATGTGGCCCTTGCCTGCCTTTCCACCACCTCCCCCATATCTGACAAGTTCAGACATTCGGACTCCTTTCCTCCTCAGGCTTTTGTTGTTGTTGTCCCCTCTCCTGGAATGCCACAGCACACACACTCTTGGTATGGCTAGCTGCCCATCGCTGAAGCCTCAGCATGTCACACTCATACATCACAGACACGTTCAGTGTCACCGTCCTTGCATCCACATGTCTGTTGGTTTGCCCAAAGTACTTATCAAGACCTGAGATGATCTTGTTCATCTACTTGTCTCCTGTCCATTGTCCATCTCCCTCAATGAGCGTGTATGCTGCACAGAAGCAGTGAACCTGTCTGGTGTCCGCAGCCTCCGGCCCAGTGCGGGGCACAAGGGACACTTAATAAGCTGTCTCTGCAGCACAGAAGCCAGGCTCCCTTTTCCTCTGCGGACAGTTCTCCTGCATGGACAGCAGATGGCGCTGGCGCCCCGGAGATGGAAGCCCAGGCTCCTGCTGGGGATTTAGCTGCCGCCAGCAGCTGCGCAGCGGCAGGGGTGGAGAAGAGGCTGAGGGAGAGGCGGGTTCTAGTTCCCCCCTGCCAGGCTTCCCCAACAGAGCCGAGCTCCTGGGTCAAACCCATCACAGGCAGCACCTTCCCTGGGGGCAAGGGGTCGGCGCACTCAATCACGCTCTCCCGCTCCCCCTCCCCTCTCCTTGGGAACATTTTCCACTGGTAAAAGCTGGGAGAAATAGCAGGAAGCAGTGTGGAAGGAAAAAGAGATCCTGAATGCCTGGTTTCACAGGGGGAGTGCAGAAGGAAGAGGGGCCGGGTGGAGAGCAGCGAACCAACTGAGAGTCCTCCCGAGACCTCCTAGGGGTCCCCATCCCTGAGAACTAGACCACCCTGCTGCGGTGCTCTGGGAGTTGCAGCCCGGATCCTTCTCTCTCCCACAGTTCTTCTACCACTCAACCACCCTGCCTCCCGTTCCCGAAACAAAAACGTGTGCACCACAAACAAAGCACCCTGAGTTTACAGAACATGGTGCCGTCTACCGCTGCCCACATCCCCTCAGTACCAGCTAGGTGCAGTTGTCCCGACTACTGCAGATGAGGACCTCACAGCTCAGAGAAGTGAAGTGACATTCAAAGTCACACAGCTGGGAAGAAGGAGAGGTGCACCTCATCCAGAGGTCAGGGGCAAGGCTCCAGCTGCTCCCGCAAACCATTGCTTGTACCCCCACCCCAAGCCTACCCTATCTCAGGACCCAGCTCCTGCCCCAGCCCCATCCAGGTAGATGAAACAGGAATGGGCCCCAGGCCCGTCCCCTTCTCTTCTCCCATTCCCCTTTCGCTTCTGCACCGTGCCTCTTGACCTTCCTCACCCTTTCTTCTCCATATCGGCTTCCCTTCAATTCCTCACCTGTCCCCCGAGTCTTCTCCTTTCCTAACACCCCACACCCACCTTTACCAGCTTCCAGGTTCAAGTTCTTGACCCCACTGGTATCACCCCTGCCCTCCTCCCTATTATGTGTCCATCTGTGGGGCAGGAGTGGGTGTCACGGACAGCTCAGGAGCGCTCAGTATGCCCCATGCAGTGTGCTAAACGCTTCACATGGTCTATCTGGATGAATCCTCACAACTACCCTGTGAGGTGGGTATTATTATCTCCCCATTCTGCAGAGAAAGAAATGGAGGCTCAGACAATTCAGCTGGTTTCCCAAGATGTTCAAGCTCAGGGCTTCTCAAATGCTATTATGCACATGAATCAGGGGGATCTTTTTAAAGTGCAGATTCTGATAGAACAGATGTGGGGAGGGGGTTGGACAAGGCTGAAAGTCCATGGACCACACTGTGAATAGAAAGGCACTAGATGAAGGGGGAGAACCCAGCAAGACAGCCCGACTCTAGACCTGTGCTCTTATCACAAGTCACTGGAGGTGGAGGAACCCTGAAGTGGGCTGGGTGCAAGATTCCTCTGTCCCATCCAGGTGCAGTGGCTCACACCTGTAATCCCAGCACTTTGGGAGACCGAGGAGGGCAGATCACTTGAGGTCAG